CACCTTAGGTCTCCTCCAACCTATCCTAGCTAGAAATTAATTTGAAATAATTAACTATAGCATTTTATAGGAAATAGAGGGTGTAATATCACATTGAGTGCCTTATGTAACACAAATGTAGTTAGAAATCTTTAGATTTAGAATTATTTTTTTATTTGTAATAAAGTTTCTACTATGACATTATATTAATAATAATAATAATAATAAAAAATATATATATATATTTATAAAATAAATCAAAAATATAAATTAAAATTTAATAAATAAATAAGTCAATAAATGTTGCAGATTATAATAAAATTAGATTAAAATAAAATAAGAGATTTTTATTTGCTCTTTAAAACCTATTTATTCTTGTTAATTATAAAACCTACTCTAAACTCTAATTCTAACTCTAAAAATAAAAAAGTATACTTCAAAAATATGTATTTTTTAGTGATTTGTTTATTTTATATTATCTCTTATTTTATTTTAATTTGATTTTATTTTAATTTGTCACAATAAATAAAGAATATTAAAAATAAAGCTTTGCATATATTATCTATTATTTGAAGAGGTTTATCACTAATTGGTCTTACTTTAAATGATAATTTGATTGAATATAATTCATCTTGTTATTGTTTATCTTAATATAATTCATCTTAATAAGATTTATTATAGTTTAATTCATTTTTAAAATAATTTATTTAAATATAATTTATCTTAATTCAGATGCAAATTATATAAGTAAAATTTATTATAATACTAGAAGGATAACTTATATTCTTTATATTTATCTTAAGAATATGATTTAATTGATATTAAGGATATTTAAAATGCAAAATAAAGTAAAAAAATAACAACTTTCTTTAAATATATATTATTTAATAGAATTTTGCTAACTATAATCGGTAGTGATTATCACTAGTGTGTAATTAGCCAATAAATTTACAAAATTAGGTATAATATGCAAATTACTTTGTATAATAAAAATGAAGATTTTTTTTAAAAAAATGACAATATCTCAAGAATTTGCTTATAAAACTACCTCCAATATTCTAACAAAAAAAAAATTTTTGCTAAATTTTGTATATAACTAAGACCTTGCTAAAATTCTAGACCTCATCCTAACTCTAAAGTAAATAAAATGAAAACATTTTTTGATTTATTTGTTATCTGTTTAATTATGCATCAATAATGATCACCACCAATTATTATAACTAAAACTCTATTTAATATATGTCGTAATTAACAAAAAAACAGAAAAAAGTTAATAAAAGAATAAAAAAAGTATCTAAATACCAAGTATTTATTTTGTTAATTTTTTTTATATTAAGTATAGGCTTTTTTCTAAAAAAAAAAACTATAATAAAAGTAAAGTTTTTTTTTATACAAGTCTTTACAATCTTTTTTTAACTTTTTCTTATACTTTTCTTATACTTTACTAAAAAGAAAAAAACTTAAGTTTTAAAAGTTTTAAAATACAAGTTTATATGCAAGCTTTTGCTAAATATAAGTTTTTGTCTTTTTTTTATATATTGTTATTATTATTGTTAAATTGCATTATAAGTTTTATATAAACCAAAATATAAACAATATTCTTTGTTTATTTTGATCATTCTAGCAGATCTCCTTTAATATAAGTGAACATACTGTATATAAATTATTACAAGATTATAATATATAAAACCCAACTAATTTAAGCTAATTTAAATTTTAACCTTAATTTTAACCCTAATAATTTATAAAATTATTTAAATTAGTTTAAGGGTAGGGTGTACAAATTTCCAATTTCATATAAAATAAATTGTAGATCAACTTTGTGTAATGAATTTTATATGATATCATATGATTTACATGTAAACATCATATGATTTGACTAATCAGAATAACAATTTCTTTGTACTACCTAAAAAAAACATATAGCAACCTAAAAAAAATTAATTATATATGATGTTGGTTTTTTTTTTTAAAGCAATGCATATTGCAAAACTTCAATATCATAAATAAACTGTTTAAATTACATATTATGTAAATTTTATACAAATTGATTAAGATATTAAAAAGTTTTATTAAAAGCATTTTTTTATTTACTATATAAAAATCCAATATACCACATAGATCATATGAAAAATGATCTACATACACCCTACTCTTAAAATAGTTATTATATATATATATACAATATTATAATTAAAAAATATTTATATATATCCATCTATACTAAAGATTAACTATTCTAGCTCAATAAAACTTGGTTTTAAAAAAACCCTAGCCAATCAATATACAATATTTAATAAACTGAATAGGTTGGGTATTACTTAGGCAGATCTTCATGTAAATCTGAAATTATATTGATTCTTATAAATCATGGATCTAAACTTAATTTGTCAATGAACCAAACTGAACCTGAATCTTTTGCAGAACAATAATGCTAATATTTCTACAGTAGAAAATAAAACTTTTAAAAATAAAAAATATATATTTTTTAAAAAAATTCAATGATTAAAAAAAATAAAATAAAGTTATATTGCTCTACAAGAAGAACTAACTAAAAATATTTAAGAATCCCAATACTTCTCTATTGAAACTAATACTAAAATACTCCACACCATGTTTATCATCTGCTAATGAGGTTGAGACTAGTGAAGCTCCACAACCAAAAAAAAGAAACACATTACCATTTACCCAACTTCTTACCAATAACAAATCATTAGAAACACTAAAGAAAGCAGGCGAATTGGCAAAAAAGAAAGCTAAGAAACCTAAATGAAAAAAAGAAATGGCTGCTCAAAAGAGAGCCGAGTGTGAGTTGAGAAAGTTGTAAAAGATAACCAAAAAAAATAAACCTGAAAGTATTAGTAAGTGATATTCAGGTTGCATTTGATTGAATAATCAATAGGGACGATGCCTTCTAAATTTAAAATCTCACTTTTTTCGATGGTTTTAAACGAATAATGAAATGACTTACACTTTACTATAAAAGTTGTCTTTTTTTTAATTAATTAAGCGAAGATATAACTCTATAAACTTTGGCTTTTTTAAGACTTTTACTATTAGCAATTCTTACGTATATACGCCAAATTACCCCACTTACCTTATAAATTAATATTACGTTAATCATATTTTCTTTTCCAATAGTATTTTGACGTTTACGCCGATTTCATTATTTCGGTAACTTAATTGTTCTTCAGGTGTCATAGAAGCTAATCTCTTCGAGCATTATTTCTTGCGGCTCAGATGCGTAAATTCTTTATGTTTTTGCATTTTAGAGAACTTCAATATGATAAATTATTAGTCATAATTTATTTATAGTCATCAGCCATATAGTTTATTTATCGTTATTTGTTTATTTAATTGCATAGTTGACTTTATTTGTCGTTCGTTATTGATTGATTTCTGATTAATTAAATTTCTGCAGGGTAGACAAAATCAATATTATCGTTATTACAGGGACAGGAGCCGGACATCACCTTAAATTAGTACACCGTGAAAAGGTATTACACTCCGCTCCAGCCCAATTACTGTAATTTTTCGTAATTTATGAATTTTCGGTAAGTTTCTGTAAATCAATTTTTATCGTAATGTAATTTGTAATTTTAAGCACATGTGATCAAATTTTCGGCGATTTAAAAGTTGGATCACAACCCTATTCACAGGGTGTTATTTAAACTCAATTCTGGCTGTAACTCAAAAATAACGCCCATTCCCACTATTTCAAGATTTTACATTAGGATTAAAAGTTTCGGCAAGTTTTGGGTTCGCCCGCTTTCGTTGCGGATTTTAAACAAAACCGAAATTCAAAAGGCCAACGTTTTATATTTGAAAAAGGGTTTAGACCGGAACACTAGCTTGGAGTTAAATATTCCATCACGAAGATAAAACCGTATGATAGATTTCAACTTAAACACTCAAGAATACTTAAACTGATGTTTTTGCCATTCAAATTCTATATAGTATATCAACTATTTTATGAGATAGACTAGTCCTGTCAAAGAGCCGGCATCGAAATCTACTATAAATATCATTGTAAGGTATTTCGAAGTTCCGATGTCACCGGTACGCCGATTTTTTCTGGCAGGATTAGTTCGCGTAACGGTAACATAACATAGCACAACAATAGATGGCTGCGGCAAAGCACGATACAATATGATTCAGCGTCTTTCGGAATTCAAACTCCCATTGGATAATCACTGTGCGCATGTATGTATATATATATATATAACGATAATTTTTTTTTTTGCGTTCGAGATCGTAAATTAACAAAATGTCGTTATCTACACTTCAAGATTCCGAAAAATTTATAGAAATCTTTCCTAATCTATATAGAGCCACATTTAATCTTCATTTCGGACCTTTACAATGTCCAGTTTCTGTATTCCTTATTAACGTTGAACCATCCAACAATACTTGGATTTTAATAGATGCCGCAGATCCTAATAACATTTCAAAACTTTTCACAGCTTTATCTCAACATTTTTCAAAATTTCCGAACTATCAACTTAAATATATTTTATTAACACACGGTCACTTTGATCATACTGGATCTATCTCAAAATTACTAAATGAATATAAAGATATAAAACTCGTTTTAGGTGAACCAGAAACTTTTAATACAAATTACAAACATGTAAATGGTAATACTCATACACAACATCTAACAACTGCTGAGGGGAAAATAACGGTTAATAAAGATAGGATTGTATTGATAAAGCAAGGGAAAGAAGATGAATTCGAATTTTTTAATGTTTTAAAACCCATCTTTATCTCCGATCATACTTTAGGTGAGTTAAACGTCTATAGTACTTAAAAAGAAAATTATTTGTAAATTAATTTAAGAAATTTTTTATTTTTTTTTAGAATTTATTTCCAATAACATAGGATCAATATCTTACCTTCACATCCCAACAAATTGTATAATGATTGGAGATAGTTTGGCGAATCTTTCACCCTCACAATGTTCCGAACCGGTAATCTCTTTACCATTTACAGCTACCACTTCTCATTTAAATAATGTTAAAGAATCCATCATGAATATCGTAAAGTTGGAGAATGTTAAAATTGTATTCCCTACGCATGATCATAGTCAAAATGGTCTTAGTATAAACGATGTCAGAGCATTTGCCGACACGCTGAAAGTATGAACTAAAAAAGGAATTTTTGAAGGAAAGATTAAGAATTTTATTTAATAAAAGCCTTCTTAGTTTCAATAACATTATTTAATAGACTAAAATAATTATAAAGTCCTAAGATAATTATAATTATAATTATAATTAATTATTATAATGAATTATACCAATAGTTTTTTATAAGCAGAATGTTTAAGAATTTCTTCACAATCAATATTATCACGAATATACATTCTTATTACTACACAATCAGGACTTTTCACCTTCCTAATATCACAAGATAATTTTGATAAAGAGGCTCTCATAAAAGCATTAATTTCTTCTTTGAAATAAATCGACAGTGTGTATCCGCAGGATTCAAAAGGTCTTAGCTTTTTGTATGCACTATTAATGTACGGATTAACAACAAGCATTGTAGGATGATTCTCTTCACCTGATATGGAATAATCATAAAATTTAATACTCATATAAGTTCTAAAAGCGAACTTTATATCAAAAGAGCATTCTAATAAAGCATTCATAAATCCGTCAAGTCTTTTAGCCAACATCTGACTCGTAGGTAAAGCTTCCGGAATTTCAAATGGAATTTGAAAATAATCAAATTCTTTAAGTAGTTCACATCGAGATACATATGCTGAGTTAGTATCATTTTCCAAAAAGCTTTCATTTGGCCATATAACTTCACCATTACGATAAAATTCTAAAATGTAACGAAATGCATGTCCATTTCTATCAATAAAATATTCATTATCATCATTTGCATGAACTATTGTTCGATTTCTATCTTGAAACATTGTGCCAAGTAATGTTTCTGGATAAGCTGTTAATGTTGACCGATACGTTTCATACTACAAATTTTTAATCATTATTATTATTATTATTATTATTACAGTAATGATTATTATTATGATCAGACTATTATTACAGTAATGATTCTTTTATGGCTGTTTTTAAAATACTTCAAAAAATTTTTGTGAATACTTGATTGAATATTGTAAATACTTAATTGTTTCTTTCGAATACTCTAAATATAATAGTTATATTTAAAATATTCAAAAGAAACACCATTTTTTTCACGTATTTTGAGAACAGCGATAAAAAAAATCATTGATCATTAGCATAAAATATTCAGAAAACACGAAGTTAACTTCAATAATATTATTATATCATCAAAGTTAATTAATGAATTACCTTGACACCTCCAACATTTAAAACAATTCTTTCATCACGGAGGATTTCAGTCATCTTTAAGGACAAGTTGATTTGAAATATGTAAATGAAATCCCTTTTGTTGATATTAATTATATATAAATATAAAATCATTTTACGGATGAACACGGGGATGGACACGGATGGACACGTGAGCAAATATCAATATGGGTCGGAGTAACAAAAAGGGTTTGATGGATTCCGGTTGGATGTAATTATTACGTTATGGCTTTGTATACTGATACGGAAAAATATGCAGCATGATCTCATCACAGCAAATTAGCAATTGAAAAAAAAAATCGTCGTTAAAAAAAAATTGACAAACCTTTACTAACTTAATTTACGTAATCATATAAATAAAGTCTAGTAACTAAATAAGATTAACATCGTTAATTGTTACCTCCTTATTTTTCTTTATACGTACAAATTTTCTTTAGTGATCACACCATTTGATTTTAATGTCTGGTTACGGTAACCGTGGTGGTGATACACATGTTGAAAGCTGGTGTGATCCACAAACCACTGAAGGTTGGGGAGGAACACAGACCAATGAAGGATGGGGCGTGTTACAACTGGATGAAATTGGATCTCTTAATGCTTGGATGGATAATGAAGAAGAAAGTTGGAGTGGATCCATATCACAAGAAAAAAACTCTAGTAATAGAAAACGAACAGAGGTAGCAACAACGCAAGGTTCTCAAAACAGTGCAGGACGAGCCTTTATAACTAACGATCAACAGAAACCAAAATTACAAAATAACTTTCGAAATCAGTACAAAAAGCTGAAATCACATGATAATTACCGAAATCAAGAACCATATAAAACGGAAACTCATGAAACAAGATCTAAAGCTTTAAACGCTAACCATGATTATATTAACGCAAATCTTCAAATTACTACTCCAGAAACACAAGTGCAAGTGTTTGATAAAAGATTATTATCTTCAACGTTACCACCAATTGTTGAAGAATGGGAATATAATACATCAAGATGGGAAGATGACGTTAATTATACACCATTTGATGATACTGTTAAGCCAATTACTGAACAACTTTCCCAAATGCAAATTTCTTCGCAAACTTCATCACAAACATTGGAACCACCAAAAAACGATTCGCAAGATAATGATGTATCTAACGTAGAAAATATGGAAAAATGCAAAGAAGTTGGCAAAAGCTTATATACGCAGTGCATTGAACTCGTATCTAAAAGAATCAAAGCGTTGAATAAACGATTGGTGAGTATTAATTTATTCTTGACCCATTATAAGTTGTATCATCAAAATTAAATTTTCCTTAACAGGCAAAAATCGAGAAATCTGAAGAATTTTTACGAGATCCTCAAAATAAATCTAAGCTTAACAACGATCAACTTCAATCGATCGAAAAGAAGGAACAAGTTATTGGCGCAATAAAAGAACTTGAAGAAATTTATAAAAAGATAGTGAGCATTGATACTGAGGTATGATCTATACGATGTTTCATTTTAGTGATATGAATTAGAATTTTATGTTCAACTATTCTATTCTTATTTATTTAGGGAAAAAAGAATAACAAAAAATAAGGCTGAATGAGATTAGAGACGTCTTATGTGATGGTATCTTCTGACTTACCCGTTTAATTACATAACTTTACTTTATTGCCTTGAGTGATAATCTTTGAAATTTTAAAGTACTGTTATACTGTAGAAATCTTGATATCGATATTATATGCATACGTAGTTTATTTTTTAAAGTTATCGAATCAGATCTAAACACTGGTAACAAGATACTCTAATAAAGAAATCTGCAATATGCAAGTCTAGATCACATATCGGTATTGTAACATCCGGTCTTAATCCTATACCGATTTCGAAATCTTTAGCGTTAATGTCAGTTTTTAAAGTAACAAGTATAAGATTTCTCTTATATAATTTATTTGTTATTGTGAGACGTAAAAGGTGTCAAATTTTATGCCTTAAAATTGCACTGCAATTTTAAATATCGACTTTATTATAATTAATATAATATTGTATGTTTGATATATTTGTGTCTTTTTTTTTTTTTTTTTTTTTTTTATAACAAGATATAGGTAAAAGTAGATCTATTTTCTTATGTCTTGAAAATAATTTTTTACACTAATATTCTTTAATGACCGTGTAAATTACAATCTATTTAATGTTAAAATCTGATAAAATTACATATATAACGAAATAAAGAATGTTAAAATAAAAATATTGTTAACGAAGTCCTGCTGAAAACAGGCAGGCCTTTTATGTTAGAAATATTAAAATATTTTTTTCTTTTTTTTTTTTTTGACAAAAAAAAAAAAAAATAAGTAAATAAATAAAAAAAAAAAAAAGGTAGAATAATAATAATAATAATAATAGTGATAATATAAATAATAACGATGTCATGAAAGAAAATTATATGTTGATTTGTGTGACTCGTCCACTAATGGGTTGATCAAATTTTGTAGGATAAAGTACCTGTAATATTGATGGTTGACCGTAGAAACTTCTTGTGTTCTCATCTGTATTATTATAATAATTATTGTAAATAACCGGATCCTGATTTTCTACTTCAGTATATTCTTGTTGATAGCCATCTTCCAAATATGCATCTTGATATTCATTTTGGTTATCTTGATACGTTGAATTCGATTGAGGTTGTTCAAAAGCTTCTTCTGAATTATCATGATATTGTTCTTCATTAAGGTATCCTTGAGTATATTGTGCTTCTGTTTCATAATGGCTATATTCTCTGTATGACATTGTACCCAATCCTTCCTCTACAATTTGTTCTGTCTGTATAGTATGAGAAGCTTGCGTCTTATTTTTCCACGTGATTGGTTCATCAGTATTAGTTTTCGTTATTCTAGTTGCACTTTTTTGTCTTCCAAACTTGTAACCTGCAAATATATCATCATCAGTTCTAGCTCGATTAAATTCTTGCAAAGAAGCTGGAGGTGGTGGTAATACACTTGATACACCACTGATTCCACTGACTCCGCTTATTCCACTAACTTTGCTTGCAGGTCTTGATTTCCCTTTTCCTCTAATCCATGGAATACTAAATGTACTTATAGCGCTCATCTTTCTTCTCCTAGGTGCTCTTGTAACTGGTTGTTCAGTGAATATTTGTGCTTTTTCTTCGATCATGACCCATTCACATTCATGTACTAACCCTTTTCTTGGTTCAATGAAAACCCAATCACCCCATCTATCACCTTGATCACTTGCCGTAGTTTCCATCCAAACGTAAGGAAAGATTTCATCAACTGTTTCAATTGATAGATGAGTAGTTACAGGTAGATCTTCACTATTAATAATATCCCAATCATCCCAATCTTCTTTATCGTTTTCAGGAACAGTTTCAGAAAAACTACTTTCCGAACCACAAACACGTGAATCAATAGAAAGAGACCCATTTGATTTTCTTAAAGAACGGAATTTGACTAATTTTTTTCTGCCTTTAATGCTTTCTCTGAGAGATTTTCTTGCTGAAATCACAGAGCTTTGTAAAGATTTTCGTGATGATTCTTCTTGATTAATATCGAATGTTATCATTGAATCTTTTTTACTCATATCGGATATAGATTCTTTTATTGAAGGAGATCTAACAGCTACTAAATCTTCACTAGAATCTTTGAATCCACTTTCTGAAAAATTATCCCAAACTACAGTATCTCTAACAGAAATTCCAGAATCATTTCTCTTTTTTATTCCATCAATAGTAGAATCACCATCTTGAAGAATTATTTCTTGGTTTGATTTTGGATTTAATGTTGGATCCAATAATGTTGGATTTGATTTTTTATCTAATGTTGGATCTAATAATGTTGAATTTAATAATGTTGAATTTGATTTTTTATCTAATGTTGGATCTAATAATGTTGAATTTGATTTTTTATTTAATGTTTGATCTAATAATGTTGGATCTGATTTTTGACCTAATGTTTGATCAAATGTTTTATCAAATGTTTGATCAAATGTTTGATCTAATGCTTGATCTAATGTTTGACTGATAGGTTTATCAACAACAATTTTGGGTAAATCCAAGTAAAAACTCTTGAAACCTTTTCTAGAAAATTCGGTGAACATTAAATCATAGGTGGCATTTATTGGAGCTCGAGCTTTTTCTTCGAGAGAAAAGTATAACCTCAAGAAATCATCAGATAAAGCACTTATACCATTAGCTTGAAATTGATCCCACATTTTCTCAACATTTTGTTTTTCGTCAATTGTCATCATAGAATTAACAATGGTACGACTTTTAAAAGTTCTAGTTTCAGAAGTTATTTCAGTGGAAGGAATCTGTCTAGTGACTCTTAACATACTAACAGGACGAGGTTCAGAGGTTTCAACAATAGTTACTCTTCTTTCTTTTGAAGTAGTAATTTCAGTTGTTTGAGCAAATGTTACAACAGATTGTTTCCGAGTTCTAACACTAGGAAATTCATTGGCAACGGTAGTGTCAGGTAAAGGATGTTCAAAGTAAGTAGAAGTAACAGACATTTTACGATACTCCACATAATTATCTAATAATACAGTTAAACGTGGATTTAAAGGTTCAGGAGAAAAATAGTCTAACTCTCGTAGGTAAGCAAGAAAAAGGTGAAGACAAGCATTTGAGCATTTTTTCCATTCAGAATAAGCAGAATCAAAATTTTGTAAAGATTTATCTTGATCACTCAATATGCAAAGAGCTAAAGACTTTACTATTTTCTGTACCGACATTTTATTAATGTGAGATTCAGCAGTTACTTGAGAGCAGACTTCAAATAATTCAGTAAGAATTTCTTGATTCTGTTTGGGAAGATAACAAAGGAATTGCCTAAAGGAGCCTTTGCTTGGATCATAATCCCACTCTATATATCAGATATTAAATAAAATGAGTAAATAACAAATTTAAAATAGGTATTTACATTTACATAATGAAAATGAAAAATTCTTTTTACCTTGTTCATATCTAACGAATTCGTCATAATATTGATAAGGAACAAGAGCCGTAGAACTATGTCTTAAGGCCCATTTCATTGCTGATACAATGTTACGAATATTTTGTTCTTTGACCTCATCCTCAAACTGGGTACGGTCCTCTTGTAACATACAATTGATAAGGCGCCTGATATCATCTATATTATCGCCTATGTGAGCAGGTCTGAAAATATCCACCTCATGTAAACCTATTAAATATGCAATGCAAGGATTAAATTACATAAAAAGACTTAAATAGAAAAAAATAAAAAAAAATAAAAAAAAAATGATATGGTAACGAAAAAAAAAAAATGCAAATATAATACAAACCTCTTGCTCTTATCTCATCAGCACACCTTTTTACTATTAAATGAACTTCTTCCAAGGATACAAATTCAGCAACATCCCTTTGTCCCTTTTTTGTAGTCATACTACGCTTTAAACTTCCACCACCTTTTATGAGACCATTTTTGCTCAGAGATCTATTCAAACTATCTCTTTTCTTTGTTAGTGAAAGCCTTGCGCTGCGAAACATCACTTAATATATGTAAATAATTATATATTATGTTTATTATAATAAGTATTTTAAACAAAGAATCAAGAAAATTCTTAGCTTTAAAGCAAAGAGATCACGATGAGGTGTATTTTCATCAAACCAGTAATTTATAAAAGTTTCAATAAAAATATCAATAAGTATATAAATGGGATTTACGATGATGTGTTTTTTTTATATATATGTAGATGTTTTATTATCGAAATTCTTTGTATTTCTTTTGTACGCGTATAAGAAGGCGAACACAAACGTCAACGAGCCTAAAATCGATTTTGTAGAAGTTGTACAAAATTATATATTATTTGGCAGATTAGCTGTACATGTTGCATAATTAGCGCAAGGTATTTTTTCATGCATAGTAGTACCGTTTTAAGTTTTTAAGAAAGTGAAAAATTTATTTATAAAACGGTTTATTAGGATGATATGACAAATTAAATTACGATTAACTAGACTAGTTAGCTCATCTGTTGCTATACATCTATAAATGCTAAGCGAAAATCTTAACATTTTACACTGTTTCCTATTCAACTTGTTTATCCTAGTTATCTTAGTTGTAAATTTTATGTCCATAATAAATTTGTGCTAATGAGAGTTTACTATTCTAACTTCATTTTTCATTTTTTTTTTTTTTTTTTTTATTATATATTATTTAAACGAAAATCAGGAATAGGGTTTTTTTTTATGTTGGTTTAAATTATTTGTTATACACAAATACTGTACATAGCCAAACCAATAAAAAAAAGATAAACAATTTAAAGATTAGTCGAATATATTACTGGAATGGTAGTCAAACTTTCTTTTAGGTTGATAGGTGCCAAGCTTTCCATCTATAATCGAAGGTCAAGAGCGAAAAAAGCTGCATAACTAATGTAAACTAATGTAATGGTATATATGGAAAATGGAAAATGCATATATTGTTTGTAATTTAACATTTTTCATTGTGCATAATTACAAAAATAATCTTTAATAATGTTACTTATTTGTTATATTACGTTTTTTTCTAAAATATTCGAAATCCATTTTTAACTATTTACCTCTTTATCAAAGACTATCGATCGTGTAACGGCGTGGATTCAGATTCGTGGTACGTGACTCGGAGTAATTTCTCAATTTGCCAAATAAAGGTACTCATTTTTCTAAAGTTGCTATAATAAATAAACAAATAAAAAAATTAAAAATTAAATTAAATAAAATAAAGTAACAAAAATAAAGTAACAAAAATAAAGTAACATTATGTTTCAGGGGCGTTCAAAAATTCTCATAAATTTATATTTCTTTAGCACTAATTCTTTCTGACAAAATTGACGTGTATCATCCTTTTTGAAAGATAATCAGGGGTGTTCTAAATTGTCGACTGGGTAAAGTCTCAAACCAGTTCTTCCATGCATTCTAATCCCATTAATAAAATTATGCGTTCACCTTTTAGTGTGGGAACTGATTTATTACCGGTCAAAAAGGAATTATAATAATGATAGTAATTATAGTATTGCATATATCGTGGACCACTTATTCTAATCAGCAACACTTTTCGTGTTACTAATATTAAAGAAAATTGCATGAATACACATAAGTGATTAGGTATTTCCGAATTTCCTTAAGCACTTAGCAGATTGCTACCTATACCTTAATAAATTAATATAAGTTTTTATTTTATTAATATAGATAAATCGTTAATCCAATATTTTTTATCTAGTGTTATCCTAAGTTTTTGTTTTTTTTCGTTCATTTTACGAAGGGTTGATTTTCATTTCTGTATCATCAATTAAGTCCATTGTGTTCATGCTCGTTTTTATCGATATTATCGAATTAAAAAGGATTATACGTATTTATATAAGCATCCACAAAAAAAAACACTAGGCATATTTAAGCAAACCATTAATATACTGAAAGCTGGTAACGAATAATAATTCTTATTTGTGTAACATACCACATACAATTTAATTTAATTGGTTGGTCTGTTAGCGGGAGTAAGGATTTAGATTGTTTAGATTTACTACGTATATAGTCATACATTTGCATACATTTGCTAATAAATAAATTATTTGTCGAATATCAGATATCAGATATCAAATTTCAAAATTTCAGACAATGTCGATGTGCATACGTATATTTAATGGAACAGCATAATTGAACCAAATTTTTTTAAGAAAAAATCGGCAATCGGCAATCGGCAACTTCTCCCCAAATATATTCATATATTATGAAATATTATGAAGAAATTTTCTTTTTAGTCTATAACTGATGTATAATGCAAACCAGTTTATGCAAACTCGGTATCTGTATAAACCGGGGTTGTCTAACTTCGAATCAAAAAGTATATATATACAGTATTACATGTATATAATATACGAAAAAATAATTTATTTAATTTAGGTTCTAAAACATATGGTTTTAATGATATTCACATGTCTATAATGTCAATATTGTTTAAAATCATTAGATGATATACCAACAAAATGTGATCACGTAGCTTCATTCACGCAAAGAATTCAATTCGACTTTTTATTTTTTAATAATAACAATTTATAACTTGAAGATAAAATATTGTATAATCTTATATGATAGTGCAAAGTAATCTTAAAACTTGTTAAATAGATTATCCATAAAACAATCATTATACGCGTCAAAAAGTATAATGAAATCGAAAAAATTATTGTATAAAGTTGCTTAGACTAATTATATATAAAGTTGCTTATACTTGAACCCTATTTTTTAGTTTGTGCTTAGAATGTAATGCAATTAAGCAATTACTGGTTCAACGTTGAACCAATCCTAGTGCTAGATCGTTTATCAACCTAATTCCGGATAATCTATCAAGAAAAACGATTGGAACAATCCTTTGAAGATTATCATGTTATTTCGAAACATTCTCTGAAACGCATGTTGAATAACAAATCACATTTATTTTATAGTGTTACAAATTACACATTACTCTTGTACTCAAATTCGGTCTTCAGCCGAAAGTTCAACACAATAGACATTAATTCAGTTATTGGATATTGTAATCTCTCATTTATTTATCGCTACTGTATAAAATAATCTAGGAATGTTTTGTGAACTTGCGTTTATTTCTTATCGCTAGGAAACCTTTATGTCTAGTAATTCAATAAATCCCTTTAAGAACGCTTAACAAAATTTGACAGTAATTTTCTTGCCCACACTATCTTCAAGTCGCATTTTTCGAATAGGTTTAGTCGCTAACTCACATTTACGTGCGAAGTACGTGTAAGTATACTAATAATTCGAGTTGATCACTCTTTTCTTTTTGCTTGATAGTTAATTATAATAGGGAATGTCAAATTCTAATCCTGTTGGATGCTTAGAAATTCAGCTTTGTAAGTTGGTAAAGTCAAGATAGTTTCAATATAAATTTTTGCACTTAAATTTGGACAAAATCTGAATCATCGATATGTTCATGATTGGATAGAAAAAATCAGATTTATGTATCGTTTCCGATAGAGTTCAACCTTTATTTGAATTTCAAAATTTTGATTAGTCAAAATCGTGATTTGAAATATCATCTTTATAGTTAAGCAAAAAGAAAGTGACTTGTGTTTACTGGCTAAAGCCAAACTCGCAGGGTGTGATTAATGTAGATAGATTCATCAATTTGATAAAATCTCATTGTATTGTTAAATAAAAAACTTGTTACGCCCCTGAAAAATCAAATAATCCATCACTATCGGTCCTTGTGGTTTTTTTTTGTATGGTTTTTTATAGCAAAAAATACACCATTCAAAAGATGTCAACCAATCTGGTAAACTTTTCTATGAGAACCCATGAAATTGCTCATGAATGGACTAACATTATATGGGAGATCCTTTATTGATTATCGAGTGAATGAGATCTTCTTTCAGTAAAGGGGGTTCAGAAGACTGCTATAATTGATGATAGATCCAAAAACAAATTATACTACTTTTTCTTTTTAAATTCTCAATGTGATTTCTATTTTATTTTATTTATTTTTTTTTCAGGTAGCGATTCTGTAGCATTTCTGGTTGTCAACCATTTCCCTAAAATGGGGAATGGACTAGGAAAACCACCGTCTGACGCTTGCTTTCAGATAGGGGTTTCCTAGTTAATTTCCCAAATGCTCAACCCCGGACAGATTCTATTTTTATATTATTTGGTACTCTAATATTCAAGCACAACAGATAATTATGAATAATGTATATGATAGTTGCTGAAAAAAAAGTACCTTTAGTTACTGAGAATGTTGTTGGTCGACCAGTCGACTATTAGTCGACTAATCGACCAAATTTTTTTATAACTAGCTAATGTTCTTTCTTATCTAGTATCACGTATAGAAATTATCCCTTAAACCGGCTAAATGTTAGATTCGATTGCTTATGTAAACATTTCGGTGAACCATTTTGGTCGATTTGTGATTATACTAGTCTATTCGTAAAAATAGAATTTCTGTATTAAGTTTTCTATAGTATCGCTTAATCTTCATATGGTCAGATTTTGATTATTCCTTTCTTTGTGATGCGGCCGTTATTTTGTTTTTTGCTGTACATGTGGGTTGGCTTATGCGATATACGCTGGGATTTGTTCCTAGTATCCCTAACACTCTGGTTCTTTGGGTATATACTTAGGAATCTTCTATTTTGCGCGGTTTTAATCTTTACTTTCATTTCGTTTAGGTAACGACTTCTCTCTTGGTGTTTTATAAATTCTTGTTCGTACCATAATAATGCTTTCTTTAATTGTGTTGCGGGGTGATTCGTAGGTTTATTTAAGTTATACACGAAATTATTGGATTTTAAGAAAAAATCGGCAATCGGCAATCGGCAACTTCTCCCCAAATATATTCATATATTATGAAATATTATGAAGAAATTTTCTTTTTAGTCTATAACTGATGTATAATGCAA